ATCACAATTAAAAAAAACAAAAAACAATCTAAAATGAAAAACAAACCATGATATCAACATACATTGTTTACATAACTGCACACATGTTGTGATAATACATTGACACAGTCTGGAAATCTCCATTTATTTGCAATAAGTATTAAACATTCTTGTGCGTTATTTGTAAGAGCTGTCAGATGATGATTCAAGAATGAATACTGAAAAATGCTGCACACTGCAACTGCATGTTTTAAAAAATATATATATCCAAACCAGTCCTTTTGGCCACAAAGATCACAATAGTTAAGTACTTAAAAGCATGCAACGTCAAGCAATATCCTACTGTCATTGTTAAAAAAAATGTTATCACAAGGAAATTATTTCATCAAAAAGGGTAGCTTTGCATGATTCAAGTGAAAATATAATTCTGTCTTATACTATGTAGGCCCTCATTTCATTTGTGAAACAAGCTGTAGATGATCATGTCTCGTTAGGGCCCCCTCACCAGGCTGTTGTTGGCATGACAAATCTTGTCTTATCCAATCTTGTTTGGTCCTTTCTTTTTTAGGAAAACCAAACAAGCTTAATTTTCTTTTGCAACTGAAAAAGCACTTTCTTGGCGACATATTGAACAACTTCAATTTCTAAAGAGTGCCGTGCTGTCCCTGCGACCCTGTACACAGGATAAGCGGTTGACGATGGATGGATGGATGGCGTGTCATCCTGCACTGAGCGTACAGACAGACTGAGCATACCTGTTCCCAGGAAGATGGATTTCTGTTCTTTGCAGGCGTTTCCTGTGCTCCGATGAACTGATAAATTTTGAGTAGTAGTAATTGTGAGTAGAAAAACTGTTGAAAATCTGGAAAATCTAAGGTTTTAGCTCACTTGGATTTCTTTTAAATACATTTACCTCATTATTTGGCCATGTTTAACATGAACATCCAACACTGTAATATTATACATGTGACAGAATATTTGGAAAAGCACAATGTTGTGCTCTTTCTTATTGACATTACATTATTAATATTCCTATGTTTACACCTGACATGTGTATGTTTTAGTATATGTCTTATTACTGAACTTAGACTTAGTTGTTAATTTAACGGGTCTAGTTTCCAGTCTTTCGTCTGTCTGAAGTTTCCTCTGAATCTCCTCCAGCTGCTCGTTGATTTTCTCCTTGTGGTTCTCCACCTCCTTCTTCCTGTCTGTCATTCCATCTAACAAACCGTTTGTTTTCATCAGTAGTGTTTGTGTTTGCAGGTGAAGTTTTGCATCTTCTAGTTTTCTATCCACCAGCTGTCTTTTGGCTGTTAATGTGATACTTTTCATTTCGTAGTATCCCTGAGCTCGGTCACTTTCTGCCATCTTCTCCACTGACTGAATCTTGTTCTCAATATCTGCCATGTTTTTCTCCATGTCCTCCTTTTGATGTTGGAGCTGATCCCTCTGGTTTTGCAGTTCCATCACTAAATTGTTCCAAGTCTTTCTGCTCTTCCTCTTTCTTCTGTAACTCTTCTTCTAGTCTTTCCCTTTTCTCCAATAAATTTTTCATTTCCTGTATTTCTGCCATGAGCTGATCTCTCTCTCTTTTCAGTTTCAGCCTCTGTTTCTGTGTGAATATAAAAATGGGACTTTATTATTACAGAAAATTAACAACACATGACAGAATAAAAAAATGCAGATGCCACTAAAACACTAATTATTTAAAATTAAAGAGAATTAAACAATATCAAATATTACCTCTATATTGAAAACATTTTGATTTTCCCATGAAATGTATTTTATTTGTTTTAGCCAATATTTAACCAGATAAGACCCGTTGAGATCAGTGATTTTTTTTACAAGGGTGAGCTTGCCAAGATAGCAACATAAAAAAAAACATCCTTAAATTGCTATTTTTTAAAAACATGAGTTTGTAAAGATGTTGTGAAATCCCCATCTCTTTCAGCTGCTGGGATGTCTATCTCTTTGTGTTCTATGTTGCAGATGCCAGTAGGAGTGGTTAAGATCATCAGTTATTGGAGCCACCTGGGCAGTGTTCTCCAGTATACAGGGATTGGACAATGAAACTGAAACACCTGGTTTTAGACCACAATAATTTATTAGTATGGTGTAGGGCCTCCTTTTGCGGCCAATACAGCGTCAATTCGTCTTGGGAATGACATATACAAGTCCTGCACAGTGGTCAGAGGGATTTTAAGCCATTCTTCTTGCAGGATAGTGGCCAGGTCACGACATGATGCTGGTGGAGGAAAATGTTTCCTGACTCGCTCCTCCAAAACACCCCAAAGTGGCTCAATAATATTTAGATCTGGTGACTGTGCAGGCCATGGGAGATGTTCAACTTCACTTTCATGTTCATCAAACCAATCTTTCACCAGTCTTGCTGTGTGTATTGGTGCATTGTCATCCTGATACACGGCACCTCCTTCAGGATACAATGTTTGAACCATTGGATGCACATGGTCCTCCAGAATGGTTCGGTAGTCCTTGGCAGTGACGCGCCCATCTAGCACAAGTATGGGGCCAAGGGAATGCCATGATATGGCAGCCCAAACCATCACTGATCCACCCCCATGCTTCACTCTGGGCATGCAACAGTCTGGGTGGTACGCTTCTTTGGGGCTTCTCCACACCGTAACTCTCCCGGATGTGGGGAAAACAGTAAAGGCGGACTCATCAGAGAACAATACATGTTTCACATTGTCCACATCCCAAGATTTGCGCTCCTTGCACCATTGAAACCGACGTTTGGCATTGGCACGAGTGACCAAAGGTTTGGCTATAGCTGCCCGGCCGTGTATATTGACCCTGTGGAGCTCCCGACGGACAGTTTTGGTGGAAACAGGAGAGTTGAGGTGCACATTTAATTCTGTCGTGATTTGGGCAGCCGTGGTTTTATGTTTTTTGGATACAATCCGGGTTAGCACCCGAACATCCCTTTCAGACAGCTTCCTCTTGCGTCCATAGTTAATCCTGTTGGATGTGGTTCGTCCTTCTTGGTGGTATGCTGACATTACCCTGGATACCGTGGCTCTTGATACATCACAAAGACTTGCTGTCTTGGTCACAGATACGCCAGCAAGACGTGCACCAACAATTTGTCCTCTTTGAACTCTGGTATGTCACCCATAATGTTGTGTGCATTGCAATACAAAACTGTGCTCTTACCCTGCTAATTGGACCTTCACAGTCTGCTCTTATTGGTTCAATGTGCAATTAATGAAGATTGGCCACCAGGCTGGTCCAATTTAGCCATGAAACCTCCCACACTAAAATGAGAGGCGTCTCAGTTTCATTGTCCAACCCCTGTAAGAGCAGGTCTCATGTTCTGCACTGTGTGCTAGAGAGGAGGGAAACCCTGTTCATGATGTCATCACCTACTGTTGCTGCTACTGGCTGATGGGGACCGACCACCTGATGCTGACCTGAGGAGGAAACACATGTTTTTTTGTTTTTTAATTCCTGCAGAAAGCAGTGTGTGGTGTTTTTTGCTTTTCGTTGAATCAGCTGAAAACTGTTTCTGAGGATCTCTGGTTGAGTTGAACCTCGGTGTCCTTGGATGTTAGACTGCAGTTCAAGTTAAGTTGGCTAGAGCTGTTAAAGCTAAAGAATGTGAGACGGTAAACTTTTAAAAATTACATGCAAAATCAGTTGTAGTTAAAATCTCTTTATACACATGTCACATATCTGGCAGCTTGTGCGTTCCAGACAAAGTGCATCTAAGAAAATGTGATTTAATTCTTCATATAACAATATGATTTCTCAGTTCATGTGAGATATAATTACATTACATATTTATTAAGATGTTACTAACCTTTCTAAACAAGGTGCTGTGAGGAGCAAGAAGAAAACCAACAGACATCCTTGACCTCGTTTTCACTCAGAAATTCTACTTAGTCAACTTTAAACAATTACATTATCATTAATTAACATTATGCACATTTAAATGGATTATAACCAACTCTCTGCATCCAGTCATAAAAAACTACATACTCAAACAGTGAAACACACCAACCGTTTACAGTTTAGTAACAACCCGCAGAATATTGTACAAATCTGTCAAAAGTTGAATGTCTAAATCAGTTGTTGAAAGTTACGTATGTCTACTGGAGCTCAGTTTTGAGTGCTATAAGCTAGTGCAATGTACCTGTTCTGACAGATTTCTTGAGCTCAGGTGTAAACTCCATCTTCAACTGGCAGTTCAAGTGTCACTTTTAACATTTACATATAATCTCCTCATGCCTGCATGACAGAATGAGCCAGTGACGACATGTGACGACAGGCAATGTAACGGACATTAAGACAATGCAGGTGAATAGAGTACAAATTTTTACTACTATCAATATTACCATGAAACGTTCATAGTTGATTACTTTCATTAATAATATTACAGTATTTTTTGTATGACAGGTTTTCTGAAATAAATATGTTTAAACATGCAAATGAGGCAATGAAATATAGTCATGAATACAACTGCAAAGTTTGATGAATGTGAGTGTTACTGAGATTTTAGGCTCAGAATATGAGGGAAAAACTCATTTTGAGAAAACGGCCTGTAAAGATATTGTACAATTCCACGCATTTTCGTTGAAAATCAATATTTATAGAGCCAATATCGAATCCAATCCTAAACAACATCAATTTATAACATCTCATACAAGTCAAAACTGATAAATGACTAGCAGCATGTCTGAACAGTCACACTTAATACACACAAAACACACAAACACACAGAGGGCCTTTCTCATTTCTCAAATTTGTGCCTCCTTGCCTCCTCAATCCTCGCATCTTGGGTGAAAGGGACTAAGATGTGCCACAAAGAGTTGAGGATGGAGGAGGCAATCTGTGTTAGTGAGCACTACATCACATTTATCTGATGCTTTTTATCCAAAGGGACTTATACATGTCAGAAGTCACACGCCTCTGGAGTGTCTTGCTCAGGGACAAACTGGAGGATGGTCACAGTGGGGAATTGAACCCGGCTCTCCATCGCGCCATCACCACCCACGCACTTCTCCTTTGCTGAGATAATCCATCAAGTGATGAATGGGGGCAAAAACAAGTTGCGTTTATAATTTTGTTCAGTGTCCATCTATAAGGCATAATTCAAAGTTTGTTCCAACATTCGTAAGGTAAGGGCACTGCAGCACTTCTGGTTGTCGCCACTGCTTTCTTGGCCATGCTTCAAGCTGGAAGGGGACCCCATAACAAAGCAGCAAAGCCCCAAACGTATATATTTATATTTTAATGTATATAAAGGAGATAGACAGAGCATGAGAAACTGTTAAATAACAGAGAAACTACTGGAGACAGCAGAGGAGATGATTATTTCAATGACAGAAAATGAAATAGAGAAGGACAATGGGAAAATAAAGACATAAAGAGAAACATTGTAAACATTAAACAATATGAATATCTGAACTAAACTTCACAAAGGTCATTTCTGGTAATTGAGTTGCATGTTGTGTTTGTATGCCATTATAGATCTCTAAATACTTTAAATACTGATGTTATTAGGTGACCACATAGGGCCTATTTAAAAGCTGCAGCAGCACCTCAGACATGTGAACAGGCAGAGCAGATACAACAAAGTGGTTTAACTGTCGTACTATAATAAACCACAACCTTTTAAAAAATAGACTAATGCTGTGACTCACTTGAAGTTCTCACATGAAGGCTAATAATGATCTCGAGAACATAGAATCATGTCAGTCTTTTCATTTTTATCAGCCAATAATCTTAAAACAAACAAAAAAAAGAAATGTCTTTTATTTGCTTTTACAGTATACTGTGGACAGACGAGAGATTTGGGCTAACAGGCTAATGGCGGCTCAGTCTTGGTCAGTCAAACTTGAACTACAGAGTGGATAAAAATAAAAATGTGAAAAGGAATATAAAAAAAAAAAAAGCATACATACGTTTCAGAAAATTATGAAAAATTCAAGTGCTTCTTTAAAAAGTTACATATTACTGTCTTTCACAAACTGTTTAAAATGAATCTCTCTTCCTTCCTTTTGAGTTTGAGTTTCTGCTGTCAGTGACCTGGAAGAAACATAGGACTATATCAACATATTAAAAGGATAAAATAATAAAAAATGGCATGCATTGTAAAATATATTGACTTGTTTAGAGACTGATACATCAGTCAAACTAACATATAACCTTATTTTGTCATAGCTAGAATTGTGTATCTGAATGAATTTACTGTGTTTTTTGTGTAGATTAGACTGACTTTAGTATTTAATTTAATTTAGTATTTAATTCTTGAATCAGCTTAATAAATCTTTATTAAAACCGCATTTTAATTGAACATATGTAATAGCTTGTAAAATAAATCATGATTTCAACTGTAATACCTCTCTCCTTCCGCTGTTTTGCAACAACAGCATACGTTGTGTTGTTCGTATCAGCTACATTTGGCTTTCCAGAAACTGAGATTTGAAATAAAAATAAACAGTTAGTGTTATACAGTATTTTAACAGAAACACTTTATATATAAAACAGTTTCTTGACACTATTGGAGTTACAGCTTCACTTGAAGTTACTGCAACACTGACAATAGTATTGAGATTTAGGCTAAATGGATAATTAACCCACTGTGTTACATAAGCAATTGTTGTTTGCATCTAAGAGAAAAAGCAACCTACTGTTCAACAAAGGAAGAAAAATGGCATTAATGAACAAACTGAAATAGAGATGGAAGTTGAAAACTAATAAAAACACTTGTTCATCTGGCTCAACTTTAAGTGTTTTTCACTATGTGCATCACGTATATATACACATGGATTTCTGAAATTACAATTCTTAATAAAGTTTTCTCTACCTTTACATCCTTTTGACTGTCCACGTTTTAAAATCAGTTTTAACAGGTTGGGGCATAGTTTTTACATTTAATAGACAGGTGAGGCTCATATTTTCAAACAAACAGCGACAGCCGTGACAGTAGATTAGACTGACTTTAGTATTTAATTTAATTTAGTATTTAATTCTTGAATCAGCTTAATAAATCTTTATTAAAACCGCATTTTGATTGAACATATGTAATAGCTTGTAAAATAAATCATGATTTCAACTGTAATACCTCTCTCCTTCCGCTGTTTTGCAACAACAGCATACGTTGTGTTGTTCGTATCAGCTACATTTGGCTTTCCAGAAACTGAGATTTGAAATAAAAATAAACAGTTAGTGTTATACAGTATTTTAACAGAAACACTTAGACAAGAAAAAACACAACAGGATAAAAAAAAACACATATTCAGAACATAGTGTTAAAGAAATGCATTGCTGATAACTCTTCAGCTGATCCAGAAGCTGCAGCACGTGTTCTGACAGGAACCAGGAAAAGAGATCATATTTCTCCTATATTATATTTATCCTATTGCTATTAATATTATCATTAACATTACTTTAATAATCTGTACCAGTATTCATTTTCATTCTGTACCACTTTTACCTTTAGTGTTTATATTTCTGTGCGGATATTGCTGTGTTCAAATTGTTTTTTAAATTATGTAAACGAAGTACCTCTCGCCTTCGTCTTTGTTGAGACAACAGCATATGTCACATCATCCATGTGATCCACTACATTTGCCTCTTGACAGCCTGAAACAAATACAAAAACAAAAAAATATACCATCTTTACTTTACTTAACAGGGAAGATTTTAATTTGATAAATGCATAAGCAGCTGGATAATTAGGCTACCTGTTAGCGGTTTAGAAACAGGTATAAAGTCATCTTCTGTAAGACTAATGAAAAACAATGGATTTCAACTAATAGCTTAAATAAAGTTACAGTTTCTTGACACTATTGGAGTTACAGCTTCACTTGAAGTTACTGCAACACTGACAATAGTATTGAGATTTAGGCTAAATGGCTAATTAACCCACTGTGTTACATAAGCAATTATTGTTTGCATCTAAGAGAAAAAGCAACCTACTGTTCAACAAAAGGAAGAACAATGGCATTAATGAACAAACTGAAATAGAGATGGAAGTTGAAAACTAATAAAAACACTTGTTCATTTGGCTCAACTTGAAGTGTTTTTCACTGTACATCACGTATATATATACACATGGATTTCTGAAATTACAATTCTTAATAAAGTTTTCCCTACCTTTACATCCTTTTGACTGTCCACGTTTTAAAATCAGTTTTAACAGGTTGGGGCATAGTTTTTACATTTAATAGACAGGTGAGGCTCATATTTCTACGGGAATCCTGTGGGTCAAGGGAAGGGAATCATCGTAATTCTTCTAGGATTGGGACATGACAGGATGAATATAGCCACCTGTAAGATGCTGCTGTGGATTTATGATAACTGGGCATTCTACTTTTGTATATTTTGATTGACTCGTGACATCAGTTAGAAATGTTTTTTCTTTTTTATGGAGCCATTCTATGTATGAATAAGAAACTACACTTTAAAGTATACATTACATTTGTACAGATCGTGTACATTTTCTGTACCTCTGTGTTTCCGACAATGAAGTACTCCCACCACCAACAGCAGCACAGCCACACACAAAATGCTGAAAACAACAGGTAACAGGATGGAGAGCTCAATGGAACCCGGGTGAGGAACATGAGGAGCAGTCTTTTGATCATCTCGAGTCCCTTGATCATCGTGAGGTGTTGTGTTTTGAGGTGAGGGAGTGATATCTACAATACGAGAGAAAATGAGGTTTCAGTTTGTCTGAAACAGAGGCAAGTCCTAGAGTGATTACAATTATTTAGCGTGGCTCTAGGTTTGGAAATGTTGGTCCAATATTGCCATGAAATATTTGGAGATCCCATGACTTGTCCTACCACCACTATGAGGCTGATACCTATGGTCAAGGAAAATATCTTGGCAACTATTGAATGAATTGTTATGAAATTTTTAGTTCCAAATATCCGCCTAACCCGTTTACTGGCCTGGTGTGGGAACACATTTAGATAAATAATACAGGTCTCAATTGGACACATGGTCTGGTTTTTATGAAAGTTCTTTTTATGTATAAAACCTCTTAAACCCTGCGGGGTTGCCCGCATTAGCTGCTTCTAAGCTACTTAGATCATTAATACAAATATTAATGTTTAAACGTATGATCAATATGACAGTATCATGCTACACATCGTTAGATCGGATTCTCCACAATTCAGTGGTTCAGTTCATTTAAAGGAAACAACAAGCCCTAAAGTCTAATTCTTATAGATTTACCAGTGTAACCTGCCTGGTACAAGAGAGGAAAAGGAAAAAAAAGTGCAGACTCATGATACCTTTGAAGCGCTTTGAAGTCCAAATGTGTCCGTTCCTTGATTATTTATATTCCTTTAGTCTGTAAGGGTCGACCGATGAAAAGAATCAAATCATCTTTTCATAAAAATTAATCCAAGTTGTTAATCCTGTTATGTGACTAACTAACTTCTGCCATACTTCTCTCATCCTGCGCCGTGTTGTTGGGTATGTTTTTGTTACTTTGCTACCTACAAAATCAAAGTGCATAAGCCGAGTGTATTCGATATTCTTTAATATAATAAACTGTTGCATAGTAGTTTCAGTTTTCTGCAAAAGTCCCAAATATAGGCAGGGTCAACTCAGTGATTTAGCAAATAAAAACCCAGGCTTTTAATCAACGTTTTACGGTATATTAAAGGCCTCCAGGAGATAAAATTAATAACCCTTGTGATCCTGACTTCATTGCTGTTGTTATTCTTATTTAGCACCATAATAAAACAGGAATATTAAACATTTTCTATAAAGTATTTGATAATTAAATAAGAAAATATAATATACTATAATATAAATAATATATTTACTTGATTTACACTGTCCTGTCTCACCTCTGACAGCCAGCCAGCTCTCTGGAGATTCTCCTTTTAATCCAGATATTGCACACTTGTAAAACCTTCACTGGACTTGGAAACATTGTGAATGGTCATCTCGCTTGTATATCCAGTCCCACTGAAGTGGCCATCTTTATAGAAATCAGCTGGGAGTTTGGTGGATGTCGCCTTGTCTCTACAGCGCAGTGTGACAGTCTGTTGGTCCATCACAGGGAGAGCAGGACTCTCCAGAATCACATCACCAGCTGAACAACAAAAAAGAAAAGCAGCTATCATTCATGCAGTAAAATAGTGATCAGTTAGTGAACTTCACCCAAATTGAAACAACGGGGTCAACTTATTGAGACAGGCTGTGGAGCCGTGCGCGCAGAAAAAGTCAGCTGTGTCCTGAAAATACTTGCAACAGCAGCACCAGCACAACATGTGTAGCATTTTAAACTTTATACATTTTCAATGATATTTGCAGTAAATCAAACTAACAAATATTTTTTTGTAATAACTGTAACTGTAATAATTGATAATATGAGTTAAACATACCAGTTACTGTGATGTTGAGAGCGTTGCTTCTCTCACCCTCTCCATTTTCACACCAGTACTCTCCACTGTGTGAAGCATAGGCTGGTTTAATGTTCAAGGATCCTGTTGATGTCGCCCATTGGGTGGAATTTGAGGGAATCTTTTTCATCACTTTCCATTCAGTCGTGTCATGAAGGCCCGTGCAATTTAATGAGATGGATTCATATTCAAAGAACTGCAGTCTGTTCGGATCTAAATGAGGAAAATCTGCATTTGTGACAGAGAAAAACATAAACATTCCAAATTTGATATGTACAATTTAGGAAAACCTACATACATCATACTTGCATAAAGAAGCGCCTTAGTAACTCTGACATCTCCTCATCACTCCTAGTGTAGCAATTAAGCCGTCAAATACAGTCCAAGTGCAAAAATTTTATTTTAAGAAATGATTTGCTAATGTTAATATAATTAATTAACAAACCTCTACTCACCAGCTTCCTGAGCACAGTAACTATCCTGAACTTGAGCAGTGAGCAGCAACAACACATTCACCACTGGAGAGACAAAAGAGGGCAGTGTATCACACAGAGATGTCTTTATTTACTAAAACCAATAAACAGTAATTATGTATCATATCAACCTTAAATACAAGTGTGTCAATATTAATTTTTCAGTGTGCAACTATTTTATTTTCATTTATGGCATTCTATAGACAGACAAAACAAAAGTAGAGTAAAATAAAAACTGAGAATGTAGATCGTAAGTCTAACTGCAATATGTATTGATTACATATTGATTGATGATTTAGCTTAATTTCTTTCTATTTCATTTTCTTCTAGAATTCTTTTAATTTAAGAGTAAAAAATTAGGCAGACTCACATATATTGATGAAAAGCTCTGTGACCTCCATGTTGTCTTGCCCCTGACTGTCTGAACTTAAGGCTGAAAACAAGCTAAATATGATGTATGTAAAGGTGTAGTGCTTCCTTTTCCTGTGCACAAGAGGCTACAGCAGTTCAAAGAATTCTAACCTAGTCTTTCAGGCCTCAGTTGCTCTGGGGATAAAAATACTTTTATTCAGCGTGCCAGCTGTCAGCGCCGCTGTGTGTTTGGGTGCAAACTAACAAACCAGTGACATTTATGGCCATGCTAATGTGAGTTCACACAATACTGAATAAGCCTACGTGACAGCCCCCGTGTGGTTCAGTGAGGCCTCTGTGTGGTTAATTATTTTTGTTGTTCTTTGTTGAGGTGATTGCAGATCTGACGCACCCGGGGCCTGTCAGCCTGTAGATATAAAGCTCCACCTCGTCAAGATCCATTCTCTTCTCTGCCACTTAGCCGCCAACCGTGGCCTGTCAGCCACAGCATGTTTTGGTTCACTTAGAGTACTGACAAACACACCTCATATTATGAAAAGTTATGTTTAGTTCACCTTTTTGTTAAATAACACGCTTGATTTATACCATGCCACATTCCCTCTTTTGTCATGGCCCTTGACCCAGGTTGTGACACCTATCACTGGCACTCTAGTAGTGATGTGTTAACCAGCAACGATTGGTTTGCCAGAGGTGAAGGGGAGAGCAACCGCAGAGAGTGCTATTTAGCCTGTGAAACAGCTGTATAATGTCTTCTGTGGCTCTGGAGGGGTGTTGTCAAGTCTGAGAAGATACCTGTAATTATGTCATAGTGATGCCATAATGGTTATTTTGGTTTCAGCTTGCAGACTTTTAACTTTTATTAGGTAGCTTGCGTTACAAACTCCTGGCATGTAGTTTGATTTGATTATAAAGGAGAGTACAACAAAACCCACACTTGAGTGTATTGGGGGTTTCACCTACCTGTTAGTAAAAGTCAGAATAGTTCAGTATCTATGCATGTATAACATGTTGTATTTAATTTTACCTGTTGTATGAGTCAAATGTTGTAGTGAGTAGCTGCCCACTTGGTTGAGTGTTGGCAGGTTAGGGGGTAATGTCTGTGTGTATGCAACTGCAGGAGGACAGAGCTCCAGGCAGCTCCATTGGCCGAGTGTCGGGGGGATGCATGCATGCATAACCCCTAAAATCCACTGACTCTGGCTACGGTGCGTTGCAGCTGTGCAGTGGTTGCTGGAGCTAATCGTGGCCATTATAGTCAATGCTTTTGAGTCCACCAGACGTGGCCGCAGCGCATCTCAAGCGCAGTTCTCTGCTCCGCAGAGAATAGGTAGCAGGTCTATTTTTTGCCGCTAGCCACATCAAGCAGCACAGAGCAGATCGAACCAGGCAGGAAGTCAGACACAGAACAGCATAGAGAATCCGGCCAATTTTCAAAACAGAAACAACCTGTGGAGACGCCTGCACGGTTAAAACAGACATAAAAAGAAATAATTTAACTACATAGAAAACTTGATCATAGTACAAAATGCAAACAATGATTACCAAATCAACAAAATCTAAACATGTCTGCAAATCAGGCAGGCAAAATGCTCTGATTCTGAAATGCTCCTCGTAGGAAATGCAGCCTGAAGAATGAAACTGGGTCACATAGAGCTGTGAAGAAGGTAGTAGAAGCACAAAGTACAAGGACAAATTAATAACTAGTAAATAATGTGGGGCAGGCTGCACGCTCTGCTGCTGAAATGCCTCTGAGATGCTTCCAATGGACATTGACGCATCAAAACCGTGGTGTAGCCGTAAAGTGCTGTAGCTGGAGTCAGTTGACTCCTGGTGTTACTGATAACTTAGGTATGGGAGCTTTGAGTAAGTTAAATTCCTGTGTAATATGTTTCTTGTTTCAGAGAATTTTTTAAATAATGTCTGTAATAAGTGTGTCATTGAACTTCATCACATGCACACAGGAGAAAAGACATTATTTTACAGTCACTGGTATCAGTATTGTTAACTTAACTTTAAAATACAAAAGAACTTTGCTGTAAACTTTGTTATGTCTCACACGCCCATTGATTTTACACCCAGCCCGACCAACCAACACACCAGCCCCACTGACATGACCAGGCTTGGATACATAGTACTTATGACAGAGCCATAATAGCGGCAAAATGGAAGTCCAACCCAGTTAAATAAGTAGCCCTTCAATCTGAATAGTCTGGATCACTGTTAAAAGGGGGCATGAGTCCCACATAGGGAACAGATGCCACAAAACTGGCATCCAGTAGCCTCTTCACAGGTCCTGAGTTGCACTTGTGAGCACAGACCCAGGAAAGGATGTGTCAAATCAATCTTTATTGAGTGGTTAACAGGCTGAATACTATGATCATGATGAATGCGTTTGTATAATTGTTGCATAAATGACACTTGTATTTAACAGATTTTCAAAACAGAAGTTTAGGTTGATTAATATTTATGTAGAGAGTATTTTACTCTGCGTAGTGCTTCTAGTCTTGTGCACAGGCAGCACATACATTCAGTTACTAAAACATTTAGAAGTCTTAATCAGTGGCTAATATATAATCTAAACCTACACACATGGAACTCAGGATGGAAAGCTTGTCCACAATGAGATTAGTGCAGCGACCACCTCTTAACGACTTGTGTGTGGACTCATAAACGCTACTGCACATAATTTAGGCAGCAAGTACATTTCCTTAAAAAACGCATGTTTTTTATCATTTCAGCTGTTAATGTGTCATTTGAGAAAAACAAAACATACATTTTTGAATGGTAAGTTCTTTTGATATTTAAGTTAAATAGCGTTACTGACTTCCATCACGTGACTCATGTTCATTCACTTGTGAAGTCGTGATATACTTCATGTGACAGGCATCATGTATTTATTTTAACCCAAACCAAAATGTTTTCTTAAACTTAACCTAGTGTTTTTGTTGCCTCAACCTAACCAAACTGCAACCGTTTCACAGCGTTAGCCATGTGTTTTTTGTCATGTGACATGTGTGTGTATTATGGACTGGACTGATTTGGGAAATGCTCATATGTGTCGTTTTGGGACGCATGGATAAACAACCTATTTTGTTGTTTGGGTTGGAGGACTAGTGATTTTTTTCTCAATTATTATGGTGACCAGTGGAAAATCATTCATGATGTGTATTGTGCTGTCGCGTAGTTTGTTGATTTCAGACACAAGAAACTAAAATGTAAGGCATGTCAAGTCATTTAACAATTACTTACAACCCAAAATTGCATTTGAAGTGTCTTTATTATTGTTTGATTGTAATATTTTTGTGAATGGATCAATAACATAATGCAAAGCAGAGGGCAGGTAGACCTCTCATCAATATAAAAATATATACATCATACTTGCATAAAGAAGCGCCTTAGTAACTCTAAATAAACATTTAATAACTTATCATTGAGGTGAAAAGTGGACACCTTTAATGAGGTTTCATTCACAAACAAAGACACAGAAGAGGAGGGAAGACTAAATTATGACTCAGCAGGGATGATATTACATGACAAAAGTTGATCTACAGGAGAAACAGAGGTGACTGCAGCACGTGATGTCTGAGAGCTTCACTGATCCTGTTACAGTTAGGCTGTAGATTTGAATCATCACCTGCCACCTGAATTATGTGTTTCTCTTTAAATAAATAATTCTAAAAAATCATCATAAACTGGTGCAGAATAATTAATCAGAATGGAGGAAGTAAAGTGTTTAATACTCAAAACTTTCAGATACTTAAACATTAAAGATTTTTTATAATAGTTAAAATCTCGTCTTGATCTTGTGAACCTAATCTCGAATCTCGTCTCAGTGCTGCAAATAGTATTAAAGCCTGAAAGACAGGACAGGCATTTGCAACATACAATAGTTTTCTCTGTCATTATCTTTTATACAGTCTAGATGCGAATACAACACAGTTTGAACCGGGTCAAAGTACAAGCACGGGTTATTATTTAATTGAAGGACTTCAGCCGTGTGGCTTTATAGTTTCAGGGAAGAACTGACTCACAGATACAAGGTAGGTGCCTTTTGTAAAGTAAATGTATTTTTATTTAAATTTTAATGGTGTTATTATTACAAAGACTACAGTATAGACCTGCTCTAAGAAAAGTACAATGAGATAACTTCTGTTATGAATTGGCATCAAATAATTAAAATTGAATTACTATTAGTAATCGCTACTATTTTACTTTATGTTTTAAGGAATGTGTCATTGCATATAGTGAAGAAAAAGCAATTTGTTATTTCCACATGGCCGCTAGTGATGAATAGGTAGGGCAAACTATAAAATTTACTGGAGGAGGAATAATGGTCTAGTACAGATTTCCCTGGCTAGGGCGCTAAGCCTCATATATATACTGTATTTATAGAGCCTCAATTCTGCATGTGATTTTTGCACAGAAAATTATTTTGTGTTTCTGCATGTAAGTTAGTTAGTAAAAAGCTAAATTAATAAAACCAGTTAACTCTGACCTCCTCCGGCTGATAAACAGCGTAGTTGTCAGAGCAGAATCCAGACCCATTACGGGTGTTTCTTTGTCCGAAAGCTGCAGCGCTACTCCACGTTCTTTAGCAGCTCCCCATCGGCCAGTGGATTGTCATTACATCGCTTGCCTGGTCCTCTCCAAACAATGCTCCAAAGCCACCGGTGATGTTTGGACAATCTCACCACTGAATTCGAGTCTTTGCATTGACTTTGTATGTAATCAAGCCGCCCAAAACGCTGAATTCGCTTTCAGTGGGAACGCACCTTACTGCATAACTGTGAAAAACTTTCATTCAAGGAAGTCAATTGCGGTAAACAATAAAAAAAAAAATTAAATAGTTGCATGTGCAGTATGATTATGTTTATGTTTTATAAACGAAAAAAATAATTTATAATAAAATGTAGTATTTATACAGCAAAAAACAACTGTCCACGTATGTATAGACATGTGTAGATTTTTGTAACCTGCTAGTATTTTAATGTAGATGAATTTCAATAGACAGTATTAAACATTTAACTTTAATTTAAATATTAAAGCAATAGCTCATGACAGGCTGTGGTATACGCTTATTATGGCACAGTTAAGGGGCGTTGTGCAGTGCAAAGCGGTTATAAAACAGTTACCAAGTAGGCTATGGCAAAATTAAAGTAACAGACACACTACAAATCAGGGTTTGTACTTCATCAATAGACATTTTGTTATGAAAACTAAAAGTATACCTACTTTTCTTCCTGCACAGTGCATGGCGGATTTTTTGCCAAATACACCACAGACTAGCATTTTCGTTTCCTTCAATCTTTGACTATTTATTTGTATTTATTTGCCTGTTGCCTGTTTATTGTGCAGCCACTGATAAATTATCCAGCATCAGTAGACTGACTTTGGTAACTGCTTGTACTAGGCTTGCATTTTTTGTGAGGTAGAGGTTGTGTTTGTTGCAGTATATTGCTTTCTCTAGTCCCCAATAGCTCAGGAGAGAGGTTTCGCACTTGTGGCCACTGACAGCCATAATCTGTCTCGTTTTAAGACCTACACTGATGAATTTTTGAATTCTGTGCTGCGGTGGCAGTGTTTTGTGTGTCTCTGCCGTGCACATTCCTGGCCAGGTGATTAACACCCACTGGCTCTGGAGTGTGCCTGTAACACACCAAATGCAGAATTAAATGGCAACTCCTGACGGCTTTGATGGCTTTCACATGAAATAAGAAGAATTTTACATACTGTAACAAAATCAGTTTTACTATAGTACTATGTAATCTGTTACATTTAGGATGTTCACATTTTATAATTGTGATGATTCAATATGTTACAAGTTATATAAGTATAAAAATGTTACTTTATCAGCAGTCAGTGTTTCCATTATTTACACACATTGCTACTGGGGTTCCGCATACATGTAACTAAAGTTGTGTACCATTATGACTGTTTTTCCTGTCGTTGTTCCTAAAATATGTGTTTTATTGTTAGCTGTAATCCATAGCCAAACATGACATAAAAAACAATATTTTTCACACCTAAAGATAATTTTAGAGACACCAATTAACCTAGCCTGCATGTCTTTGGATGGTGGGAGGTAGCCGGAGAACATGCAAACTCCACACAGAAAGACCGGGCCAACTGGGGTTTGAACTCACGACCTTGCTGTGATTGTGTTAATGTGTTTTATTTTGCTTATTTATCTTGTTTATTTCCATATGGCCATTCTTTTGTGGCAGTTAAAATTTCTAAAATTGTTTTTTTATTCCCCAGAACTCCAGGATGCTTTGCATAAATGAGGGACTGTTCCATAAACAGAAGCTCGATTGTGCTTTGGTTTTCCAGTACACTGGGATACTCCTTCTACTGGCAGACCCTTGTATAGGTAACTTAAAATTAAACATGACCATTACAATGGTCTTTTTTCGCCAAAAAAAATTGTTATTAAAGAAAAATAGTAGTACACTAGGGCTGATCCCGAATAGTCGAAGATTCGATGCTTCGATGGGCGGAGCCTGAATCGACTGTCAATCTCACAGTCGAAGCTTCGCAGCAAAACAAGGATCATGCCATTTTGGCGATATGGGGTGCTCAATGTCTGATTTTACATAGAACTACCAGTTTTCTCCCAATAACATGTTTTTAAAGTGCGTAAGTAAATCCAAAATTGAGTCCAGCGCGCACGTGTAGGTGTAGCGCGTGTGTAGTGGCAGAAGAGGAACACTTGCTGAAGAGACGGAGTCCCAGCTTCACCGGTGTTGTGCCGAGTTGTCCGCACCTTGTGGGACTTTCAGATAATTTATAACCGTTGATGAACCACACAAAGAATATTTTATCATTTTTTAAGTGGCTGTCTACTTGAAATAGACCCGCACAGCATGCACGCAAAACTCTGCACAAGACCGGTGAATGACAGGCGAGAGAGAGAACGAGAGGGAGAGAGAGAGAGAGAGAGAAAAGGGTCAACAATAAGCCTCGGTTTAGTTGGAAATTTACAGTGTAAGTTGAATGAGACAAAAACATACATGATTCAACTATCAGTCGACTATTGGCAGGACTTGACAATTCTGATTCGACTATGTAAATCCTTAGTCGGGGACAGCCCTATAGTACACAAGAGTTGGTTTTGATTTAAGAATCCAGGCCAGCCTCAGGGGACTGGACTGTCTGAAAGCATAACAGCAGTAGGCAGTGATGATGTAACCTTTCCATGCCACCCACAACCTGCAGTAAATGTTGTTTCAGGGGTGGGAATTAGTCCCTAGTCAGCTCATTCTCTCATGAGCCATTAACATATGCTTTTAAAAATAAAAAAACCTATCTAGCTCTCCTCAAGTAAAGTAATCACCTCACCTGAGCCCTTGAGTAGCATAAATAAATAAGCCATATCATCAATCTAACCATATCATGATTGATTTGAGCTGGACTGGCTGTGATTCTGTTTTGCCATGTCAGCACTAGTGCTGGGGCCGCCAGTCAGTGGTGGATAGAGTACTGAAAATATTAACCAAATTAAAAGTACAATCACTCCTAACTAACTCAAGTAAAAGTAAAAAATATCATTTACAACATGATGATTTCTAGGAAAGGCACTTTGCTTTGGTTGATTACCTCTAATTTAGCACTTTCTGTTTAATACAATTAACAATAATTATTTTACTTTTTAAAATATCTACATGAAGGTATTGATAATCACAGGCACCCTTTACAATCTGATAATTCCTAAAACATCTATGAACATAATCTTTACTAAGTTAATAAATATTGTGGCAATAACACAGGAGCAGCTCGTTGTTGAATGAAGTATGGCAAGCCACGTGTGCGTCAAAAAGCCTATGCATATTTGCTCTTCCCCTGTGCTTCTTATTAACAACTGGTAGCCTACTGAGTGAAAGCCAAGATCAGTTTTACAAGTCACATTCTATTTAATGTATTCATCCGTCAGATTGCAACCAACGTGAATTAGAGAAAGATTCTACAGAGTGTAGCCTATACATTTGTTCAGCAAAGTACTATACAGAGTATTTATGCTGTTCATGCATATAACATTTAAAGAGGTGGTATTATGCTCATTTTCAGGTTCAAAATCTTATTTAGGGGTTGGACCAGAACAGGTTTACATGGTTTAATTTTCAAAAAACACCATATTTTTCTCATACTGCACATTGCTGCAGTTCCTCTTTTCACCCTGTGTGTTGTACGCTCCGCTCTTGAGCTATGCAAAATATAAAATACAAAACTTTCTGTTGCTGGCCTCTGTCTGGTGCAGCAATGATGATGCAGTGAATAGTGAATATTCTCTCTGACCAATCAGCAGTCTGTCCTGTTTTCACGTTACATTTTAATATCCATCAGCTCGCTTGGAACCTCGATGGAGGTGATACGAAAAAAAGTACCTGGAAGCAGGGCCGGACTGGGACAAAAAATCGGCCCTGGCATTTTTGGCCCAGAAGGCCCACCAAAATTGGTCCGACATCCTTGACCAATACACCATCCTTGCTTTTAAGGGCTTAGATTAGGGGTTTGACAAAACCTCGTAGCCCATGAGACTTGACACTGCACAATAGTGGGGCCATGACAACAAGGAGAGGGAAAAAGCCAAAAAGCATTATACGACTTCTTTAACATGTAAATACAGCGTGATTCACGTGCGTAATGCTGCATGAGGCCTGCACTATGGCACTGCAGAACACAACGCGAATGAAAGACTTTCTTGCCCATGATGATGACTGTCCATAATGTTAATTTAGATTCCCTAGAGCTGGGAACTCTTGGATCTTTGTGCTTAACAGCAGCATCAGTCAGAGCAAACTGATGGAACTGTGCCATCTTGGCACAAGAACAAGTAGTTTCTGGTGACAGGCTGTTAGCAGCGGGTATTTGCCAACAGGCGTGTCTTTTATGTGATCAACGATATATAGTGTTTACCTTTCAACAGAAAACTGTACTGTTCTTGCTTCCTTTATATGTGAACAAGCTGCATCAAACAATATAAGCTTTCTAACTTCCACCTCATAAGCACCTCAATATCTATGACAGGCAAACTACTTTTCTTTTTATCAGTAATTGTACGAGTCTATGAGGCAGCTGCATTAACTCACATTGTGATACTCTGACACGTTTTGCAGTTGTTGTTGATCCCAGAGGACAAACCACCAAATAAAACATTTATTCTGGCCTCCATTTCAGTGATCAGCACCGCAATCTCGCACTCAGTAATGTTTCTCTTTTAGGACAGAAGTAACTCAGTCCTTGGCTTGGAAACCAGAGTGCTGGTTCAAGTCCAGCTCGGACCAGAGATATGGGTGTGGATTAGTAGCTGAAGAGGAAGCAGTCACCTCATAGTCACGGCAAAAGGAGGCGGTGAGCCTTGTTATTTGGACCTTTGGAGCGGGTTGATGTAACTTTTCCTGTAAAAACATTTCATGGTTCCAGCTTCTCACATGTGAAGACTTACTGCCTTTTTCATAATTTTTACAATATAATTAATCGACTAATGGAGATAAAAATTTGCAGATTAGTCCATAATGAAAATAATAATTAGTTGCAATTTGGTAAAACATAGTTCAATAGAGTAAAATCATGCTTTTAAAAATTTCGGTTTTTCTGTAATTTAATTCAAAACAGTGAAACTTAGATATATTCTAGATTCAACACACATAAAGTAAAAAAAAGGCCATTTTTTTGTTTTAATCTTGATGATTACATTACAGCCCATGGGAATCAGAAATCCTTTCACGGGGACTTTTTCCTTCACCAAGAATTTTTTCCTGAATATTCTCACATAATCGAGTTTATAGCAGCAGTAGGGGATTATTTCAAAAATATATTTGCTGAAACTGTATCTATATCCTGACATGAGACAGATAATCTGTAGAAGAATCCTACTGCTCCTAAATCCATTTGCAAGAATCCATCACTCCCTGAACAGCACTACCAATCAGAGCCAGAAACAGTCTCTAACACAGTATCAGTCACACGCTGCGCAGCCCCCCCTTCTCATGCACGTTCTCACTCAGTCAAGCTCAACATCCTCACCTCGCGGCTTGAGAAGTTTTGCAAACATAATTTCTCAGAAACAACCAGCAATGGAAGAACTGCCCATCCCTCCTTTACCAAGAACAGCAACGTATAGTACAAAACTAGAGCTCTGCAAGCCTGCCGGGTAAACGATCCACAAAAGCAGAAATACAAAACAATGCAACCAGATACAGAAACACGCATGAATAAATATACAAAAAATACACAACACTAAGAAGATATGTAACAAAACACTTTTGATTTTTCTTGTTGGGTTATGTAATTTGAGTTCAAATATTTCCGATACAAATCATTCTTGAATGCCTTTTTGTTCTGTGCTTTATTATTTCAGCTGCAGAGTTCCTCACGTCTTGTAACCCATGCTGTTTCGGTCTTGGCTTGGTTGGTGGCTTAGCAGGTGGCCTCGTGTGTCTCGGAGGTGTCTTTATTGTCTGGAAATGTAAAAAATCAGCAATCAGTAAGTAACAAATAAATACCTCTTTTTTACTAAACCAAATGTGAGTCTGGTGATATCAAGGACTTTGTTGCTAAACCAAATGTCTGGAGAACTGTTTTTTATCTACTACTTTGCTTTTCTACGTCAAATTGATAGATGTCATTTTGTGATTAAAAACACACATTCAACAAATTTTCTTTAAGAGCTGGTAAATCTTTAATTTGGTATTGATTGAATGTACAATGTTTAATTCTACCGGACCTTTTATGTCTTGTTCAGTGTTGTACATATCCTCAGCAAAAAAGAAGGGATCGAGTGAAAAACAGCTGCAGAAACAATCCCAGAACACACAAGAAGAACTGAACGCATTGGCAGCAGCTATTACTTCAACGATGGAAGTGAAGCACGGACTGGAAACGCAAAGAGAGGAATTAAGACTGCAGTTAGAAGAGATAGCGAAAGAGATGGGGGAGAACAAGGAGAAGCTTAATTTAGTGGAGAAAGAAATAGCAGAGAGTGAGAAAGCAAAGGCAACTGACAAAACAGATGGATACTTGAGAGAAAAACGAAATCTAGTAGAGGCTCAGGATAAACTGGAGATGAGAAAGGACAAAGTAGAGAAACAGCAGTTGAACATGGAGAAACTGAAGCACAAAACAGAGGGTATAATGGCAACAATGACAGAAAGGAAGAGGAAAGCAGAGAACCATTTAGAGCTGATTAACTTGCAGCTGGAAGGGGTAGAAAGTGATGACCTCAATGCTCATCTTCACCGAGAGTAGTAAGAAAGTTCACTTTTTGTTCTATAATAAGATGTAAAGACTCAATTCATTATGAACTCCTGTGCTGTGAATACTATTTCCTTTCTGACGGTTCATCATTTAATACAAAGTGTCCCTCGTGGCCATGATGTCTAGATACTAAACATTATTTCATGAGTTTTAAGTAATAATGGTCCAACTTACAGAAAGATTAACATATGTTTTGTATTCAGTCATCATTTATTTTAATGGTCTCCTGGTTCTGGCTTTCCATCCACCCCAACCACCTCCTTACTCAGTCTTTTCTGTTAAATATCACATACCTACCTTTACCGTCAAAAACTACGCTGCAGGGCTTCCCCCAATGCGTTGAACTATGACAGTAAAGGGATCCCCAGTGCGTCACAAACTGACGACTAACGAAAACAAGCTGTAGATGCTCCTGTCTCTTGAAGGCCCCCCCTCTCAAAGCCCACTGTCTTGTGATTGGCTGACTGAAGTTCAAATTTTTACTGACTGGAATCTTCAAACCTTGTTCATTTAAATGAACTAATCTTATTTTGAGTCATTTGTTCATTTGAACTAGGCTGGTTATTGCGGCGCTGCAGCCCTCTATGAGGCGATTAAAAAACAGTGCAGTTCTCAAACACAGAAGGCTGATTGGTTTGCTTTAATTGACAAAGTATAATGCACAAATTCACCTCTTGATCATTCTCTGTTGTCGTTCTATAAAGCCCCATGGGCCACAACCAAATTCAAACCATGTAACCATGTTTCCTGAGTATACAACCAGACCATCCATATGTACATATATATATAATATATTATTATAATTACATATATCTCTAAAGTCCTAATTCATACAGTAGCCTAACGTCCCTATCCATGAGTAACATCTATATACATTCATACACGGTGGCTCCATCGGTAATTAACAACAAGCCTCCTCCACACGCGGCTCACTGCTGTTGTGAAAACGGAATCGCAGGTGACAAAATACAAAATGCAAGTTAAGTTTGTGATAAAACACAAAAATAAGGTGGAGGATAAAGTAGAATTACAATGGTGAGATTAGAAATAGCATAATGTATTCTTCAGATTCTTTCAATTATAATATACTGTAGCCCATATATAATATATCATATTTAATAATGGTCTGTGCATGAAGTATAATTCATCTTCAGTTTTTGCATTGTATGATGAAAACAGTCAGTTTAGGGGTATTTCCCAATTTCATTGTCCTACGTTGCGCAAATATATATTGAACAGTGCGGAGTTCATTTTTCCAGAGCCTATGCTGCCTAAACGATGTTAGCCCTGTGCTGTGTAACTGTCGCATTGAAGACGCGCAGTGACATTTAGCACAACAAAGAGTCAGCTTGTTCCAATTTCCAACTTGTACAATGAAATTTAACAAGAAAATCTAAAAACGTGAGTCATTTTCATCACCACAACAAAACTTGTAACATGAGAGTCTTACTTGACGAGAGACTATGAAATTAATTAATTGTATGTGATACGATCACCACATAATAAAATAAAATTTTAGGACTTGGCGAAATTGGCGTGTCAACACACATGGGACAACGTTCAGTTTTCAAAATAAGGTCTTAACCCAACAAATTAAGTACAGTAGGAAAAAAGATTAATTAGATTTTATTTTTCAGGAAGTAGCCTATAAAACATGTTACATGTGTCTAAAATGCTAGGGAAATTATGTTATTCTGTGATTTTGAATTGTTGAAAAACATTAATAAATAGCCTTACTAGAAATGACTTAAGCTTGCTGGAACCATGTTAAATAAATATTCCTGGCAACAACACCATTTGAGTTCAGGATATCCTGATACATCATAACGCTTTGCCAAATATTGTTACAGCTGAAAATTCTAATTTCTCTGAAAGTAAAGCGGCTTGAACAGTGAAAACAGTGCTTTATATATTATTA